TCATCAGTCGCCTGCGTGGAAGTCGTCACAGTATCCTGACTGCTATAGTCGAGAGACATGATTGTCCATTGATGCGTAAATTAGTGCAGCGGACTAAGTCCCTGTTTACTATTGCATATTAATATTGTATCTAAGTATAGTTATATATTGTGTTCTTTCTTTACTATTATTTCGATGGATCTCAGTTATCTGAATAAATAAACTTTATTATTATTATTAATTTCACTTGTAAGAAAACATAATATGCATTTATTCAGATTAACTGAGATCCTCCTCCTTTTTGAAGTCTCTTAAAAATGTAATATTACAAAAACGAACAGGTTTTATTGAAGTTGCACACGTGTTTACTTATGAATAAGAGCCCCGATATGACTCGAAACTAGTAGAGCTTTCCTCCAGCTTTAATTCGTACACTTTATTGAAATTAGTATGTCTCTCGATAAAAAATATCACCGTCTCTCACCTCAGGCACATCAATAAGTTTATAATCCTCGAGCTTATAGTTGGCGAGCGCGTCGCAGGCCGCGATCACCACGTCGGGCACGTTGCAGTCGGCCACCCACTGCCACAGGCGCCGCGCCGCCTCGCGGGACAGGCGCTCCCACTCGCCCGTCGCCGCCCGCAGGGACGGGACCTCGCCCAGCAACTGGCAGATACTGTGGGCCGTGGGACGTACAGTGTGAAGTGTCTTTGTTTAAATATTTTTTCATTTATGTTTCATGAACAGAATGAGCTGATGAAAATAGAAAAAAGACAAACGAGGTGCTAGTTTAGATAAGTATATAGAACTAAGTATGTATTACAGAGTCTTTAAAAAAATCTCTGTAGTAGCACGGAGTCTGGGATTGTGTCCGGTATATGGCAATAGGCTCACCCCTATTACATGGGACTCATAGCATAAATAGTGGATGTTACATTATACAGCGGCATTTAGTGTCGTAATGTGCATCTCTGGCTAAAAGGCAAACAAAAGGCGTGATGTTATGTGTGTAGAACTCGCTTACAACTGGCTATTACATAATAACAGCGCGGCGGCGCAATATAGTAGTATACAGTACCTGATCTGTACAGCCGGCCTGGTGTCCCGCGCCAGCTTGGGCTGCAGCGCGGCCCAGGTGGAGTGTGGCGCGAGGGCGGCGGCGCGCCACAGACGGCGCAGGGCGGCGAGACAGGTGCTGGTGGCGACGCCGCCGCTGCGGTCGCCGCAGCGGTTCAGCAGCGACGATATCACTGACACCAACTCCAGGCCGTGGCTTGTCGGACTGTACAAAAGTCAGATTAAAGCTATTATGAATTTAGCCAACCTTTGCGAAAACCCTGGTAAGTGGATCACACAAAGAGTAGCTTCGTGCAGGAATCGGACCCGCTACACGTTGCGTGGCAGCCGGTTGCCCAGCCACTGCGCCAACCGGGCTGTCATTTCAAACAATCAACTGTAGCTACGTCTTACGATTCACATGTGACCGACTCGGTTTTAAATGTCGATGATTAATGTCTAATTTAATCTCAAAGTGTTAAAGTTAAAAAAGATTATTTGACTGAGTTAACAATTACAATATTAATTGTACAAATCTAATTTATTTATCATCATCGCACAAACAAGTTCCCTCTAGATAAAATTATTTTAACTATCGTAGGTACTGACCGTATCTCACATATCCTATCAACAGCAATCGCCTTAGCTATGTCAAGCTCCCACTTCAAGTCATCCTGTTTTCCCACACCCGGATCCACGAGCATTTCTTGTAGGTATGGGAAGCATCGCACCTTGTAGGATAGTTTATAAGAGCATTAAGTATAATACCATAGTATAGTCTAATTTAAATTTTGTATCTAGTGAAATGTTTAAATTCTTCACCTTCGTAATGTAATGTTGTCTCTTTATGTAATTTGAGAACTAACTAAAGCTAGTGATAGAGTAACCTACAGGTTTTATAACTGTTTCAAAGATAAACATACTAATTAGAAAAACGGAGTATTATTTAGTGTATAGTTATTATTGTCATATGACTTAAAACAAAAACTTTCATTATTACGAAGACTTTTCAAGCACTAACTAAATAGGGGTTCCACAAGGTGCTATACTTGGACCAATAAATAGGAAGCATAAATAGGATCCATACCTGTGTTTCTGCTAAGCTGGTGTATAACATGATGAGGAATGAGGTCGGTACACCTTTATTAGCCTTCAACTTATTCAATACAGACACTATAGTTGGCACATTTTCCTAAAAAATGAAAATGTTAATTTGATGAGAAAAGATTTTCAATTTGTTCAAATACATATTTCACAGTAAATGTTAATTAAAACTCACCTTAGTCTTCGCCATCAAAGGCAGAGCTCTTAAACACTCCAACTTCACGACAGGACATCTATCATTAGCTATCTTATACATTAACAGCGGCAGTAACTGTACAGAAATCTCCTTCTTATAACCAACCAGATTTACCACAATCCTAATGACTTTAACAACAACCTCTTCATACCACGCTTCCTTACGTTTCTCTAAAACCATTCCCAGTAAAAATGGTAACAATTCTAATTTGATTTCATTATTTACTGTGGCTAAGGAATCGAGCCAGCTCTTCAATTTGTCCGGGTTATCCCTCATTCGCTCCCAATTTTGGTTCAATTTGAAGACAATTGAAAGATGGCTATCTGTGTATAATAGAGATTGGAATGTTTTATTGGCTTTGAGATTCGGTGTGTGAAGTCTTGTGTCGTCTTTGTAGTTATCCTGGTATATGTCCAGGATCTTTGAAGCTACTTTGAGAGCTGATGCTGTGAGGTAGGATGGGAGATTCAACCATTGTAGTGAGAGAGCCACAAACACGTTGAGGGAAATTGATGAATACTCGTATTTGCTGATTATATTTATACCTGTGGTAGACAATACGATTAAATTATAAAAACAGTAAAGAGGGTGGATATTTTACAAAAATGTATTGGTAGTATCAAAAAGTTCTCGACTCGACCCTCAAACTCAGATGATTTGTGGCAACTGGGAGATTGACGGTAAACAATCCGTACTGCCCATGGGCATCTTACGAAAATTCTTAAAATACTCACACAAATTGAACAATTCATGAAGATACAAAGCGGATGTATCAGCGAGATTCTCAGCCAGCAACATGAGCGTGATGCCGGCGACAGTCCTTAGCTCTGGGGCGTCGAGGGCAAAGCACCGCTCTATCAGGTTGTAGCACGAACGAGGGTCTCGTCTGATGGGAGATATAAAGAGACACATCAGAGTATATTGTTTGTTTATCTTGCATTATATGCACATGATATTTTGGATTAGATGCACAACTACCCATCTTATAAACGAGATCTAATATTCAGTGAAAAACTTTAGTTAAAGGCACGAGAAACACTTGGATCTTGGATTTGGGTATTTTTACGAACATGTAACGTTTAAAATATTTAATTAAGACTGATACCTAATCATTGCTACAAAGTTACGGCCGAAATATAAATACAGAATTAATAATAACAGATTCAATACTTCTATTGAATCAGTCAAAGACCAGATCAGTACCGATATTTTAAATCGGGATCTGTTAAATTGAAAACTTTCCTTAATCAAAAATAAACTATTTCGAATACAATAAAATATTAAAAAATAATCACACTTTTAATCACACTTTCAGTAATTGTTTTATGATCAACACAATTTTAGTATTTTTCCAGCAATTTAAAAAAAAATAAGTATGGTGTTTGACGTTAAAAAACATGACGTCACAATACACAATCTCGTACAAAATTCATAGAAAAATGTCGTTTTTGACAGTGCGTAAAAAGTATTGAATTTGATAGCCGATACTTACTCTAATTTGATAAGTTGATAGGAAACTCTGGCGAGCATGGGGAGTAGCGCCATGACATGTTCCGTATGTTGCTGGAACACTGCTGCTTCTGTCACCGCCCTGTATGCCGCGTACGAACTTTCTATTAGAGCCGGGTTGTAGATCTGTTGACAATCAAAATTTGTACAGCAGATTGTACCACTGTAGTTTTAAGTCTCGTAGGCAGTCTTACCGTCATACTCCGAGATATTTAATGGTAAGTTAATCCACTCCTTAGCAATTGTTTTGGGAATAAAACCGTTACTATGGAATAGTTTCAGTAATAATTAATTATGCATGGTAGTTAATATAAATTATCGTAATTTAATTTTTTAATCACATTAATGATTCTGAATTAACATGCACCAGCATCTTAATTCACATGGACATCATATATTTTTACATGGAACCAAAAGAAGTGATGCTAAGCAATGACTTTCTAAAGGTTACAAGAGTTTCAACTACTTCTAACCACTTTACAGTTATTCTCAGTTCATCTAGCTAGAAACATCGCTTATGTTAAGAGTTCTTACCTGTTGGCAACTAAGACAGGCAAGTAGAAGGGAGGATTGAGCAGTTGTCTGTGGTAGACTGAGCAACAGTTGCCAGGGTCTGATACTACCTTCCCTCTGTGGATGACAGGTCAGCCAGAAGAACACTGGTCTCAGCAGCTCTAAGCTATTTGATGATACCCTGGAAGGATAATAATTCATAATGTAAATGAAATATAAAATGGGTATTTGTAAAAGTTGATATTAAGAATTTTTTGTTTTGTTTGCATTCAATTAATGAACAGAAATACAATAACTCACATGGAACACAATATTTTTCCTGCAAATAAGAATTTCTAAGCTTATTGGAATAATTCACTTACATGCACAATGGTAATAAACTTACGTATAATCAGGATGTGTGCACAACGCATGCATCTGAGCTAGTATGTCACCCTCGGCATCCTTGTTCTTATCCAGCACAGTGATAAACGGATGTTGCGGAGACTTCAGACTGAACTGACATTTGTACTGGTGGCCTGGTACCAGGCGAGCCTTCAGATCCAAAATCAATAGACCAGCCATTGTGGATATTATGGCTGAGTAGTTGCTGCAAAGAATTTATTGCTAAATCGTAAACTAACAATAGAGTTGGTGTTATTTATTAATTTCTAAACTTGATTATTTTTTGGTTTCGCAAAAAAAAATAGTAAATAAATAACCATGTTAAGTAAATAATTCTGAATAGGTAATCAAACGTTTACATTTTCACTTAATTCTGAGCACTCGTGCTCACTAAAAGATTGCAAAGACCAGACTTAAAACTACTTTATCATAATCTTCCAAAGTTTTTGGTAAAGTTTACAAGATACAACTTACTGTGTGCTGGGCAGTAGAGTTACAACAGTGGACATAGTGTGGGCTATCTCCAAGACCCCGAGTTCCACCAACGCCAGCAAACCCTGACACGCCGTCAGGCTAACCTTAGCATCCTTTGAAGAACACTTTTCTCTCAACAACTTTAGCTCTTCATTTTCGTTCACAAACCGCTGTCTTTCTATTGGCTTATATTTCGATTTAATAGTAGATATCAGCTTGTCGATTGCATTGACTATCAAAACACTGTTGTTAGTGTTCAATTTGTATTCAATTTCATCCATTTTTTAATTATTTCTTCAACTAGTTTCGATAATAAAATTACAAAATCACCGGCAGTCACTGGAACAGCTGGCGTTGACATGAGAATTTATTTTTGCTGACATGACACTAATGACAGTTCAGAGAGCAAATTATCATTGTTGCCAAAAAATATTTTCGTTATTATTATTTTAACCAAAGTGTAGATTGTATCAGTAGTAAAATTAATACTTACAGTAAATTATTTGGCTTTGTTTACGAGAAATCCATTTATAAAACGTTAGCTCTTTTTGCTTTACAATCAAGTTTTAAATTGTTTGCTGGCAACTTTGCGTGGTAATGTCAAAAGGCGCGTTTCATATACCATTTCCAATGACAATCTAATTTCAATTTCAAAGCATAACTTTCATAAAACACTGGGTAAATTAGTGTTTTTAATGCGCGAAAAACAAACTTCATTCAAGATTCGGTAATAGAACGCAACTCTTATTCGCGAATTGGGCTTGGCGAGATCAAAATTTTTATTGAAAATAACAAAAACATTGTGCTAATTACACAAAACTAATTGTAAAAATGTCTACACCCCCGAGAGAAACTATTCAGAAGCAAATTCAACAGGACTGGGCGAACAGGGAGTACATCGAAGTAATCACGGGGAGCATAAAGAAGATCACAGACTTCTTGAACTCATTCGGTATGTATGCTCATAATATTTGTATTTTTAAACACGTTAACTTGATGAAAACTGCCCTTAGCTGAAAGATACGCATACATAATCACGATGAAAATTAAAATTTTTGAAACTGATGATTCATAATGTTGTTTCAAAACACTTGATTAGTAATCATCAGTTGTGAAGGGATTTCCTGTTAGCTTCCTTTACTCTCCAATGATATGGTGTTTGAAAATTAATTAATATGCTCTCTATGCGTTTGTTTGCAGACATGTCCTGCAGATCTCGCCTTGCTACTTTGAATGAAAAGCTAACATCATTGGAACGGAAGATTGATTATCTGGAGGCTTGTGTAAGTATCTGAAATTGTTGTGGAAAAGGCTTCACCATAACACAAGACTGCTTCATATCAATTGACAATCTCATATTACTTAGTCTATTTGCATGAAGAAAATTATGTCAATGATTACTCGGTGGTCAAAAATCTGTTTTCTTAATTGCATATAAGAATTTTTATTGTACAAGTTCTATATTGGTTATAATCAGCATAAATTCATTTCAATTATTTTCTTAATGCAAGGGACTATGAATACTGGAAACTATTCTTTATTCCTAGCATCACTATCACCTAAGGTCTTGTCCATGCACCAACCTTTTCCAAATTACTTTTAAAAAGTTTTAATTAACACAAAAAATTGAACGGAATAAAATTTTTAACAGAAATGCCAACCTGGAATTCAATCCCAGGAGCTGAAACTTGTGGATGGATCAAAACCAGTAGAATTATAAACTTAGTCTTAATTTTAAGCATATAATTAAATTAGTGGAAATTTGTAAATTATTATTACGTACAATATTCCTTTTATTTTTTAATAAAGTATGAATAAGACTAGCTATTGTGCAAAGAGGGTTATAGACAATTATTTCTACTACTAGAGATAGTATATAGAAAAGGAATGCACAGAATGCAAAATTAAAACAATGACTGTTGGTGAGGTAGCAACATGTCACGGGTTTGATTCCTGCACGGAAGTTGTTTCGTGCATCTTTGTGCAATTGACAGATTGTTGTTCCAGGTCTGGTTGTCATGTGTAAGTGACCTCTATATTTGTGTATGAACACAGGAGATAATCCTAGAGTGAGGCAACATTTTACAAAAAAAGAAAGAAACTCGTTTGTGTCTGAATCTCAAAAAAAATAGATTATTTTAACAAAGATGCTTTGTAGCTATGACAAAAAATGACTAATTCATTTACATTTTTCCTTGTCTATCTAAGTAAGATCTTCCTTTCTTACATTAACACACACTTAATTCATTATCAAGCCTGTCTCATACATACTTTATCACATAAAAAAAAAACAATTTTAATTTATTTTTACTATTTTTATTTTCTTTTCAGGTAACTAAAGGTGAAACACTGACATAATCTGAATACCATAAGTAATTATATATAGTATTTTAAGTTTAAATTTTATGAGATTTGTATGATTCCAATTTTTTATTATTATAAGTACCTATTTATAATTAAATGCTTGTTTATAGTGTAGTATTATAATAGATTAGATAAATATAAATATCTTTAAGTATATTCATAATATTATCAATTTACTGTAGATCTTCAGACTATTGGTTACTTTTTTATAATCTGTCGATGTATGTATAATAGATGGTCATTACAATAATATAATGTTGCGCAAAGTACCACTGCCCCAGTTTAGTAAATACTCTCTGATTGACTGCTTTGAGTAATTTAATATGTATATCAAAATATGGTGTTTCAATATACCTACTTTTTAGTTATAAAACTTGTATTCATTTTAATATATTTTATAACCATGTTGAACTGTTTTTATAATAACTATCGTGAGACATACTAAATTAAGTAAATACGCGGGTTACTCACGTGAATATACTGAGAAAAGCTCTACTAGTTTCGAACCACAGAGGGGTTCTTCCTCATGGGCAGCGTCAGTGAGCTGCGCTACGTCGCCGCGACCGCGCACGCTCGCACGCTTCGAAACTAGTAAAGCTTTTCTCAGTATATTCATGTTTGAACTGTATCTTGGTCTCTTTTCTTCATTATGAACATGATAAGGACGGCAGGTATTTAGGTTACATTTTCTCCAATAATATTGCAACGCCTTGACCCCCTCCACAACTGGATGCGGCAATCCCTCTTTTCAAGTTGCGACGGCTGAAATAAGCTATAGAGTTTAGATAAAGTTTTGTTTATTTTCAATAAATATACACAGCATAAATTGTATTTAAAGGAAGATATATCGATAGTTTTCCGAATATTCTACTTGCTTAAAAAATGGCTAAATATTTAGAATGCTATTGGCGTATATATCATCGGTTTACGGACTGCCTAATGCCTAGGATTTCTTAAATTACCTGAGTTCGTGCACAAGGTGTGTTGCCATTCGAGCTCCCGTGGCAGAGATGGGATCCCCTAAGGCAATCGCACCGCCACTCACATTCACTTTACTAGGGTCCGCCTTCAGCTCTTTGATAGCAATTAAAGCTTGAGACGCATAGTTTTCATTAATCTGTAAAATGAATTCATTTTTCCAATTATTTCCACCCTATTATTAATATTTTACGTAGGTAATCGTTTTGAACAGCTATTTCAAAAATTCTGGTACCCTTAAAGCCCGGTAACGCACTTGTAACACCTCAGGTGTTCCGGGTGTCCATGGGCGCCGATTACTTGCCATCAGGTGATCCGTCTGCTCGTTTACCGGCTTATCCCATTAAAAAAATATATTACTCTAACCTCAAAAAGATCCACATCATCAGCTGTCAAATTCTGTCGTTCTAGAAGTTTCTGGACAGCACGAGCTCCTCCTATTCCAGCTTCCAAAGGATCTACTCCGACACACGTCCACTCCACTATCCTTGCTAATGGTCGAAGGTCGTGTCCTCTCACTGCTTCTTCGTGAGCTATGAGGAGAGCTGCTGCTCCGTCTGCTGGTGCCTGGTTCAGTAAACATCGTGATATTATGGAATAGTTAGATTCAAACCTGCTACTATATTATGAAAACATTATACTTAACCTTTTTATTCAAACCATTTAATAAACAAGTACAATAAAAATGTAAACTGAACTCACGGAAATATTACCAGAAGACAGCACTTCTCCATCTTGTAGTAAAGCTGGTAGTTGTCTGAGATTCTCAGCCTGTATTGATGGCTGTGGAAGTTGGTCTCTGTCCACTAGTATTTGCTTCTTCTTAATGGTTGCTACTATACTGGCTAGCTCCCGGTCAAACACTTTAAGTTCGTCAGCTGAAAAAGATTGTAATAAGTATCTCCTTGTTACAACAGCCTTAGTACAATTTACGTAGGTACCGTCCTTTTCGCGCCAATGTACTTAACGCTAGATTCTAAACCGTGAAAAAATATAGCAATGGGCAATTTCCTTCATCATAAAGATGTCCACTGCCGAAAATATACCTCTCCCATGCAATGAAATAATTCACAGTCATCATAAAATTTTTATTATTAGATATTTGCACGCCATGATAAATGGCAGACATGTCGTGAGCCACTTTTGTCTAAGATCTTGCATGCTGTATTATTTTAATTCTGTATGCATACACATGTTTGAGCAAATAAAATTCTTATTCTTATTCTTAATGTGTTTGCAGAAATCAGTATAGATTGGGCAGCATTAAAATATCCGTTACCCACCTTTTTTCCATTTCAAATGGCTCTGTAGAGCGAACTCATCGACTTCTTCCCTTTTAACTTTGAACTTTTTGGCCAGATTGTCTACCATCTTCTGCATCGTCATTCCGATGTATGTATCTGGTATTTGCTTCTGTATGTGGTCTTCAAGTCTGTAGGTGGTACCCAAGGCCGTTCCAAAGCGAACATTTCTCACCAGCATCGGTAGTGAGGACATTAAATCTGTGCCTCCTGCTAAAGTGATCTTGGAATTTCCTATTGTTATATCCTGAAAAAATTTAGCTCATTATAGAACGATATTATTTATTGTAGGAGTTTAATATGATGGAAGTTATTTTATATGTAATTTGGTAGTTTTCACCAAATCTTTGTACCAGTATTTTGATACTTGAATGAAATTGTATGAGCAGTTTATGTAGTTGTGTAGTGTTGTTGAGATTAGTATAAATTATGTACATCATTTGTCTCTTACCAAAGTACTCTGAATGATAGCCTGCAAACCGGTACCGCAAGCCTTACTGACGCCCAACGCGGGACTGCTAATAGGAACGCCAGAATATATACCGCAATACCTAGGAGTTTTACCGCCATCACATTGACTCAACTGAAAAAAAAATATTTTTATTTCGTATGTGTTTTCATTGATTCTGCATCATTATACGTAATCGAATAGTAAGCACCGTAACCACTTAAGTATTAATTATATATTTATCTATCCCAATTTAAATACTGAAACAATAATTAGTCAGAAAATAAAAAACGTACAAAATTAACATTTCCAACAATGGTATTGTCAATAAGAGAAGGGTCTACATTGGCCGAACTGATGGCTTCCTTTGCCGCAGCTGCAAACACATGCGAAGCTGGCGATTCTCGTAAAGGCCCGCCATAACTGCAAAATGGCGTCCGTTTGGCGCCAATAATGAAAATACCTGAAAGAGTTCAATAACTTTACTATAAAAACTACTGAATAAAATCATATTTGACTACCTTAAATGATTGTATAATTTTTAATTAAAGAATTCATAAGTTTATTTTCATATATTCTTAAGGTAATGTGATTGTTTACAAGATGATGATAAATGATTTGAATAAATACTAGGTAATAATTAAATTAAGTAACTGTCTATCTATTGTCTGATACGTCTTTCACGTCAGCTCAAAGTCTAAATCGAATTTAAAACCTCATAAGTACTCACAATAACAAACAAATTGGCAAAATAAACATAGCAACAGCAACTGATAACCAAATTGTTAAAGAGAAGTAAAATCTAGAACTGTACAATAAAGCTCATATTCCCGTGCAGACTGTGTTACATATAGCAGTGTTATAATTTATTGACAACTTATCGATAATAATAAAAATTGATAATATAAATTCGAAAAACTAACCTTTGGTACTGGCCGCCATCTTGAAATGTGGTTGGTAATAAAAAACAAATGCGACCGAATGAAAAGAAACGTGTTTTGAAGGAAACACGTATTCGTACACTAAAACAGTTGATAGGTGCGTTATCAACATAAACGTACCTAGTGTTGATATAAAGATATTAAATAAGTAAGATACAGTGAGGATCAACATCCATTTTGTGCCAAGATAGACATGTTTTTAAATAATGTATATCTCCCGCAGTGGTGCGATAAGATATGAGTATTTTATTTATTAGGTAGGTACTTGTATGATGTTGTTATATTATGATTTATGCCGGGTACTAAGTACCTACACACATAAGGAAAATGACTGGAATAAAGTTTAGAGAATCAGAATAGTCTGTTCCTAAGTATATATGGTAAAGTATGGAGTTAAAGTATATACTTAACTCGTTGAGTACCGTCATTATAGATACAATTAAAGAACAATAGGTTGCGGTCACCGGTGTCCTCGCGGTGTTTGACAGTTTAAAGTAGAAGGTCTATCGCTTTCCAAATAAAATACAACACAGATTATAAAAAATACGTCGTATATTTTTAATTATTTACAATTTGTATTTCATATTCATAACATTTTGTTCTCAAAATGACAATAAAAACAACAATAATAGGACAGAAATTGAAAATAAAATCTATTTTGTAATATGTAGATAAATTAAACAGTCTCAAAAAGTAATGCAATTCCCTGGCCTCCGCCAATGCAAGCTGAACCGATACCCCTCTTGAGTCCTCGGCGTCTGGAAGAAAAAGAGCCGTTAATTTTTCTTTTGCCTAACTTACTAGAATTTGTCCCGTATCGTGATATTTATAAACTCTTTCAAGTCTACACATCACACCTACACTCGATCAGAACAACTACTTGTTCCGTGCATAGCTGTCGGTAGCTCAGTCACTACGTCATTTATGGACCTCACATGAACATTCTTGTAGAATAGGAGCAAAATACAAATAGACCCGTTTTGTGCTTTATTCTGAAGTATAAGCCTTATATAGCCTACAGTCTATCTATAATTCTGCCTACCTGAGCTCATGAGCTAGATGTGCTGTAATCCTAGCGCCTGATGCTCCTACTGGGTGTCCCATAGCAATAGCACCTCCATTGACGTTCAATTTGCTCTGGTCCAGACCTAACTCCTTGGCGCATGCCAAAGTCTGAGCTGCAAAAGCTTCGTTGATCTGTTGAGGAAAATTCAGCTATTGAACTCCAAAGTTTGCTGTTAAATGAAATTTTCACAAGTGCACAACTGCAGCGTGCATACAGGAAACAAAGAAATCAATACCAAATGTTTTGAAGAAATCAAGTCCTGAGCAAAATTAATCGAAAACTTGTAAAATGTATGTTATTATTACATACCTCAATCAAATCGATGTCATCCAACTTCAATCCTGTGGCAGACAATATGTTTTGTATGGCGGGGACAGGTCCAATACCCATGATGGAAGGATCCACACCTACTGCAGACCATGCCAGCAGTCTTACTAGTGGTGTGAATCCGTTCTGCTTTACAGACTCCTCGCTTGCCAGGACTATCGCACCGGCACCATCGTTTACGCCCTATAGATAGTAATTAGGGAATAATTTACTCGAACAACTTTAATACTCGATGTCTAGGACTCGAGCATAGATTTACATAATTATAGAGTGAATTAAATAATATCTCTGAGTATATCTTTTAAAGGGGTGCCTTTAAAGTCATGATCTAGTGCTTAATGAGAAACTTACAGAAGAATTGCCAGCGGTAACAACGCCTCCTTTTCTGAACAACACTGGCAGTCTGCTGAGCATTTCAGTTGTGGTTTCGGGGCGAGGGTGCTCGTCCACTTCCACCACCTTATCTTGCTTCTTGACCCTCACTGTTACTGGGGCCATCTCCGCTTTGAATACGCCTTGCTCATGTGCTAAATGGGAACAATTGTATTTGAATAATTAACAACTTACTGAGCAGAATAAATGATTCATTTGGACGTAGGTATTTCATTTACCTGCTTTCCACCTCTGCTGTGATTGCAATGCGAACTGATCGACCTCCATCCTTTGCAAGCCATATTTCTCAGCAAGGTTTTCAGCTGTTTGTGGCATGGTAAAGTTGCAGGATGTGTCCAATGAGGATGTGGTGAGAAGATCTTCGAAGGGCATCTTCACACCTAAGCCGACTCCAAAACGTGTGTTTCTGACTACGAAGGGAACAGTTGACATGTTTTCTGTGCCTCCAGCCAAAGATGTTTGAGCAGCTCCTGTGATAATGTCCTGGAAATAGTGAAACATTTAAAACTTATGCAGTTTGGTAACAAAGAACTCTAAACTGCTTACAATAAATGATGATAATTACAACTTCACTAGGTAGAATCGTAATTACCCTACTCAATGTGGTAAAGATCTTACCTGGGCACTGTTCACTACAGCTTGAAAACCAGACCCACAGAGTCTGCTAATGCCAAGAGCTGGCTTCTCTTGAGGAATGCCAGCCTTGAGTGCTGCATGACGAGGAGACAAACCACCGTCTGATGATCCACTAAGCTGCGGAGTAAACAATCAAATAAGTAAGAAGAACTCTTAAAACAGAATTGGGTCTTGACTCAAAATCAAAACAAAATTTAATTGGTGCTAGGCTGCTAGGATATCATTTTGCAAAAGGTCATACTAACTCCATAAACTTGTCCAATGTTGACGGTGTCGATGACCTCCGGTGCGACGCTGCCGGCTTTAAGAGCATCTTTAGCAGCTACAGCCAGAAGATCAGAGGGGTATACTTCTTTGAAGGCACCTCCGAATCTGCCGAATGGCGTGCGTTTAGCAGCCACTATGAAAATACCTGGAGATTGAAAGTTAATATTAGTTGGTCATTTCGTTTTCGGAAACTTTTAAGTTGGTAAATATCGCATTTCACTGATAGTGAAAATTGCATTAAATTCTAACGAAAGTTAAGGTAGAAGATAAAAGTTAAGATTAAATAAGACTGGCACCTCCTCACATAAAAAGAACAAGAAATCTAGATTTAGTTTATCAGAGATATGCCCCCTTTAAAATTAGTGAACTCTTCTTGGGTTATTCTACGGGAACATTACAGTTATTCTACTTTTTCGATGGGTAAGTATTCTAAAGTCTAAACAGATGTGTGAAATGACCTTGTTCATCAAATTGTCATATGGACATTGACCCGTAACGAAAGTCCGTCCAATCTTATTTGCACCTTGTGTTATAACAGATAAGGATTGAATTATATCGCTACATAACCAAAACTTGTTTAGCTAATTTGTAAACAATGATGGGATTCGAATAAACTGTGAGTATTAGTGTTCTTCAACGACTTAAAGTACAAATTTTGACCATGTTTGGTTTATTAATTTTGGAAATATCTTTCATATAACAATCAAAGTTTTAACTTTATCTAAACACTACGATTTTCGTAGGCTAACTTTTGGCTAATCGGAACAATTTTCCTCATAATTCATGCTAAGGAGATACCTATAAATAAATAGTCCAGTCATACAGTTCAATGAACCAATACAATCCCTTCAAATACATAAACATGTATTCAATACATAAAGTAAGCAATATTACTAACCTTTATTGATAACGACGGCCATTTTTGTTTAGTACACATACACGTCAACACAGACTAAAACCTCGCCGGTTGTGGAAATGTGGAACATATTATGATATTTTTACGTTCCAAAGAACGAATGATTAGGTTCTTTTTCGTATCTATTCACTTGGTATTGAAGGATTAACGTTTACGATTATGGTTTTTAGTTCGTACGACCAGTCCCAATAAATGTTGATAACGGAGTAATCTTGGAGTGTAAAGTCCGTTGTGCTCAGTATAAAAACAAGTTTGATAACATTTATGTAATAGCTTAGGTGGCTAGGTATTCGTAAATGGCTCGCTTCATTGAAGAGAAAGCGGGAACTACGTGTACGTATTTATTGAACTACTTAAGTTGCTATAAGAGTGGGAGAGTCATGTTTCGGCACGATTGGGTCGGTTCGGCCAGCGTGATTCCACGGCCTCACAGAAAACCGAGGTGAAACAACGCTTGCGTTGTGTTTCGTCGTGTGAGTGAGGTTACCGGAGGCCCAGTGTCTCCAATCCCGAATCCTCCACAATCCTCGAATTCCCAAAAGGCCGGTAACGCACTTGTAACGCCTTCGTGTTTCAGGTTTCCATGGGCGGCGCCGGTTGCTCACTAGCAGGTGATCCGTCTACTCGTTTACCAGCTTATGCTATGAAAAAAAAACGAAACTTAGGAACATTTTTTAATGATTTTGCTATGATGTCTATTGATCCAGGACCAGGACAGTTGTAAAAGTCTTTTGCGGTTCAATTATTTTTGTACTAGCTTTTACCCGCGGCTTCGCTCGCGTCACAAAAGGATGAAAAGTAGCCTATGTGACATATACCAATACATACAGCGCCAACTATACCAATACTTTTGTTTTCCCTCGGGAATATCAAATTTTTCCGGGTTAAAAAGTACCCTATTATTTAATCCGGACTTCTAACTTTACGTCTGCAAAAATTCAAAGCAAACGATTTAGTAGTTACGGCGTGAAAGTGGAACAAACAAACAAACAAACTCACTTTCCCATTTATAATATTATAGTAAGGATAGTAAGGATATACATACCGAATACCTCCATTCTATGCTATTCTAGAAATCTTACAACTAATTGTATTTCAATTAAATAATACAAGGAACTAACTTCTCACTTTCTCACTCACCTTTATTTAACCCTTCGACAATAAAAATAAGACACACATTACGTGAATCATAAAAAAGCCAAGATACCTAACTTAGTTGTTATGGTACAAAAATATTACTCAATTGATAATAAATAATCACTATTAAAATGCATGCACGTAACTTAGTCCTGAATTACATTGACAAAAAGTTAATCGGATTCTAGCGTATTTACATTGTATGTATTAGATTTTATTCAATTTCCTGTCATTCACACTGTCTCGAGTAGAACAGCGATGCCCTGACCTCCTCCAATACACGTAGCACCGATACCTCGCTTTAGACCTTTGCGTCTGGAAAAAAATGAGGTAGGAATTAAGATTAGGACGTTAAGTACTTAAGTAGGTACGTGATAGTTCGCATTGTTTAAAACTACATGAATATTTGGCGTGGAAGTTGCCATGGCCTTTAACTGCCGACAAAAACTATTAGCGGGTAATCCTCCGCTAGCTTCGGTCAGCATTGTCCGACACGGCATCCAATGTGTTAATTTAATAGGTACGTAACCATGACAAGATGGCGAAAAGTAAAATAACCATCATTCACAAGATTGAAATGATGATTAAACTATGCCAAGATCTGCGAACTGTTTATTAGATACCTAGGTTAGGAAAAGACAATTCGAAAACCTAAGCTCATGTGCAAGATGCGCAGCTATCCGAGCTCCAGAAGCAGCAGCAGGGTGTCCTACAGCGATGGCACCTCCGTTCATGTTGAGCTTGGTCTGGTCGAGGTCCATCTCTATTACATTGGCTAAAGCCTGGGCCGCGAACTGCTCATTAAGCTGGAAATTAGAAATTATTGTTTTAATCATCTATTTCTCGCACTTTGGAGTATCCTCCAACTTTAATTCAGCAGTCTATTTGTATAAAATACTCAGGTTGTTATTTTATAAACTTTTATGAAAATATTAACCTCGATCATATCTATATCATCCATCGTAAAGCCGGTAGCTTTCAGCAACTGTTTTATAGCGGGAACAGGTCCCAATCCCATGATCCTCGGTTCCACTCCAGCATGAGACCAAGCAACCAATCTCACCAGTGGAGTCAAGTTCTGTTGTTTGATTGCTTCTTCACTTGCAACTATAAGAACTCCTGCACCATCGTTGACACCCTTTAAAACAGAATAGTGTATAATTATTTACGTCTAGGTTGGAGTTATCCTCCTTTCTTGTGAAAATCTATGCACCGAGTAAAATCAATCGTATAACTTACTGTAGAGTTGCCAACCGTGCCAACTCCTCCTTCTCGGAACAATGCTGGTAGTTTACTGAGAGCTTCCATTGTGGTATTTGGCCGTGGGTGCTGGTCTTTATCCACCACCACTTGTTTACCATTTATCACTACTGTTACTGGTACGATTTCTGCTTCAAAAGCACCATCATCGAAACCTACAAAAGATTAGCATATAGTCTTCTAGATCCTAGGCAAATCATCTTATAATATTATTGTTAGTACGTTTTGTACCTGCTTTCCACTTCATTTGTGATTTCATAGCATATTCGTCCACCTGGTCTCTCTTTAGCTTATACATATCTGCCAGGTTTTCTGATGTCTGTGCCATACTAAGATTGCAATAAGAATCCACAGAGCCTGCCTTTAAATAGTCCTCAAAATCCATAGGCTTGCCGAGCTGTGTGCCAAAACGGAATCCTCTGACTAAGAACGGTATCGCTGACATGTTCTCTGTTCCTCCTGCTAGAGAGATTTGGGCGGGTCCATAGAGTATATCCTGTACAAAGCGAAAGATTAATCTCAGAAGAGACGAAGGCTTACTTGTGAATAGATAGATAGGTAACTTACTCGTGCACTATTAATGATAGCTTCAAAGCCTGATCCACATAATCGGTTGACTCCTAGAGTTGGTCTGTCATATGGTATCCCGGACCTTAGGCCAGAATGTCTAGGAGTTAGAATGCCATCCGATGAACCACTTATCTGAAATAACTTTGTTAAGTTAAGCAGGTTAGAAGATAGACACTAAGATAAGAATAGAGAAGTACTTACCGTATAAACTTGTCCCACATTAACGGTGTCAATTAGATCAGGCGACAGATGACACGTTTTAAAAGCCTCCCTTGCTGCAATCGCAAATTGTTCTGAAGGATGAATGTCTTTAAACTCTCTCCCCATTTTTGCAAATGGCGTACGTTTTGCTGCTACTATGTATAGGCCTACAGAAGACATAGAACCATTACTCGAATATTCATACTGCCATAATGCATCGACTCAAATGCTTAGTTGTATGTTTGCATATATTTTCATGGCCTTAACATTAAATAATATAGCATGTCAAATATAAACGACAAACGACTTCTTTAATACTTAGTAGGTAGTCTTCTGGTCGTTGACATCATGCAAATCCTCATCTACTTGTTCATTTAATCACCGCATTTTAATTTATCGAGTTATTGCTACTACTTAATTAATGAAATAGAATCTGAATATCCTCACCACTTTTCAATACAACTGCCATTTTTTGTAAATTAACATTAATCTAATGTAGGCGGAGGCCGACCACAGTCGTCGAGATACAAAGGTACAATACGGGTCTACTTATTTGATAGTAGAAGTAGTATTTGTCCAATTTTATCTAATGTTTACAACGATCTCGGCGGTTTATAGCTAGTATTTGTGAACAAATACTCGTAATCCCTGCGGTTAGGACAACTGTGTAAATTCTTATGTGCGCGAGTGCATTTGATCTATTTATGGTCCCTTATATCTGGTATATGTATACGCGTATAAAGAATAAAATCAGGTGTTACTGTGCGGAAATTCATGCTTCACTAACATTAGTTTGCATTAAATGCAGCACTGCCCCCCATTTTGCCCCCCATACATACCCCCCATACTGCATGATGCAAATTCATTCCTAACTAAATATTTTCCCAGTTGTTTGTAATATGTACGCGTACCTTATATGTATCATTTTCCATACATAACAGTGATGTTGACACATAAGACCTCTGCCTACCCCTTCGGGGATAAAATGCTTACGCCTTTTATCCCCGAAGGGGTAGGCAGAGGTGCACATTACTGCACTTAATGCCACTGTACAATGTAACACCCACTTTTCACTATTTATGTTATAAGTCTCATATAATAGGGGGTGAGCCTATTGCCATATACCGGGCACATTTCCAGACTCCGTGCTACTACTGAGATGGTTAAAAAACCCAGTAATACCTTGCCCTACCCGGGAATCGAACCTGAGACCCCTTGCCCGGCAGACGCACTTGCGACCACTCGGCCAATGATGCAGTCTTTAATATTATTGTTTCTTACAACATATAAATCATACATGTAGGACTGTAGGTTCATACCTAGGTGAGGAATAAAATTTAGTGTCTTTATTCAAATGATTTTTATTTGTATATTTAATAGGTAATCGTTTAGGCAGCAATTTTTGTTTGGCACATAGTATTTTTATTCTTTCATATTTGTATCTGCAATTTAAACAGCCTCGATGATCATGGCTATGCCTTGCCCACCAGCTATGGACATTGCTGTTAATCCCCTCTTTAAGTTCCTTCGCCTGGAACAAAGGAAGTTTTTCTAAGAACTAAGGTTTTCCTGGAGAAGACTATGCATTTATACTTAAACTAGCGACCCGCCCCGGCTTCGCACGGGTGCAATATGTATATACATACAAACCTTCCTTAAGAATCACTCTATCTATTAAAAAAAACCGCATCAAAATCCGTTGCGTAGTTTTAAAGATCTAAGCATACATACGGACATACAGCGAAAGCGACTTTGTTTTATACTATGTATTGATGCTTTTTTGGATAGAACATGTCCTAAAATCCCTTTAATTTGATCATGAGACATGATTCTTTCTACCTTTTTTACCTGAGCTCATTCGTGAGATGCGTTAACAATCTTCCCCCCGATGCTCCTGACGGGTGACCGATGGAGATTGCTCCACCATTGAGGTTCAGTTTGTTGTGATCTACGCCTAGCTCCCTAGCAATAATCAATGCTGTCGCGGCGTATGTTTCATGTATCTGCAATGATTTCAGTTGTTTCACTTAGTCTTCACTTTTCGGATCTCTATATATTCTTTTGATATAGCTAATTATCTACCTCAAATAAATCCATGTCATCAATAGAAAGTCCTGTAGTCTTGAGAAGTGACTGTATAGCTGGAATAGACGCAATTCCCATCATCACTGGATCTATTCCTACAGTTGACCAACCCACTAATCGCGCCAACGGTTTTAAGTTATGGGTTGTTAAAGCTTCTTCATTAGCTAAAACTACCGCAGAAGCGCCGTCATTTGCTCCCTGCAAAAAATATGATTATCGTCTAAAGAGGCTATGAAGCTAAAGAATAAGTATTCCTAACCGTACTTACGGTGCAATTACCAGATGTACCGATACCATCTTTGAACAAAGGTGGCAATTGACTGAGCTCGTCAAATGTGATATCGGGCTGTGGGTGCTCATCCTTCGTCATAATTATTTCACGACCCTTTTCCTTTATTACAACTGGAGTTAGCTCTTCATTAAAGATGCCTTTTGAGTCCGCTAGAAGTAAAGTGACATGCCTAGACATTGATCTATCATCATCAACCACCTGGCTGTTGTTTTATCTTTTGGGTATTTACATTAAATAAATATTACTTAAAAGACAGCTCTTACCATCTTTCCATCTCTTTTGCGATCTCAGAGCATATTTATCAGCCTCTTCTCTGGTCACCCCATACATTTTAGCAACAACATCAACAGCTTCAATTAGGTACATATTGCAGTAAGAATCTAAGAAACTCATGCGGAGTTTATCTTCGAATTGTGGGGTCGTTCCCGATGGTACACCATAACGTATGTCGCGGACGAGGAAAGGAATTGAAGATAATGTTTCCATGCCACCACAAAGAGATATTTTAGTTGCTCCTAGAAGTATTTCCTATTACAAAAAATAAATATGACTATTGGTTTTAGATATTACGTACAGTTTGAAGTTGCTCAATCGAGTTTTTACCTGTGCACTGCAAATTATACCACTGAAGGCTGATCCAGACATCTGGTTTAGACTGAGAACAGGTCGGTCTGCGGGGATGCCTGCTTTTAGAGCTGCGTGTCGACCAGAGATTCCATGTTGTGATAATGAACTTATCTAGAGCAAAAGATTACCTGTGGAGCTATATTGCTATAACAGTCATAAATATTTAACTTAAACGATTTAGTTTGAACCTCATCATTCATAGATGTTTTCTAATTGAAATGGTTTTCTAACTTGCCCGATGTTGACGGTGTCTATCAGATCAGGTGCTATATCGCTGGCCCTGAGAGCTGCGGCAGCCGCAGTGGCGAACAGATCCTCAGCTAATACTTCACGGAGTATTCCTCCATTTTTTCCAAAAGGTGTCCTTTTACCGGCCACAACGTAAATACCTAGAAACAAAATATATAATTTAAACTATAGCATTCAAAATGTCTGTATTATATTTTCTTTTATTTGTTATAATTACTACATAAAATTAAAAGAATTGGAAAATGAAGGGAGCGACAAGAAACTTACCTTTCTTTAAATGCACTGCCATCTTGTTTCCATCCCATTCTAATCAAAAGATGCACATTAATTCTAGAAACATATAATGAGATCATTGTTAGAACAAACAAAGAGAACAAAAAGAACAACCCACTTCTTTTCTTAAAAAGAAAGGTATGCCACAGGGCATCGTTTTATGGCCTAAAATGTCATACATAGATTTAGTAATTTAGTCAAAGTCAAAGCATTTATTGCTATTAAACCATAGTTTGGTACTTTTGAAACGTCAACAAATACAAAATAAATAATAGTCTGTCAGTCAGTCCGTCAGTGAAACTAGGTGAAGCTAGGTGCTCATTCCAAAATGTAGATTCGAATGGAGAAGAACGAGCAAGAAACTCTATTCGTAGGGGTTGTAAGCGCCTACACTTGGATGATAGTTGATAGGTTGACTGCTTCTCGTTGATATAGATACGAAGATTGCGTAGAACTGATATAATAACACAAACTTCTGTGACGAGAGTATATTGATACTTATTGATACAAAATGATAAAGTGCAGTGATATAAAATGCTAATGATACAGTTTAAATAGTCGTACAAAAGTGCTGTCGCGCGCCGCGACAGTTATTATGTATATAAAACAAAATTAAACCTGTACAGTTGTCTGTGCACCATTCGTTCTTCCATTAGACATGAACTTACCGTTTTCTTCGTTCCTATCCTAGCGTGACTACGAAGCTGATAGTTGTGAGGTAGCATTTATAGACACATTTAAAAAAATATATGATTGTGTAATGGCCGGCTATTAATTACCTATTACTTTGTGTCTGGTGTTTCTATAATGAATTATTATAATCAGTCATCATGAATTAATGTGAGTATTCTTGTACGTTTTCAAATGGCGATTTAAGTAAATAAGCATCTAATTTACTTCGCATCGCGTCTGTCTTGTTGATGACTAAAAGTAGGTAAATAAAAAAGAACTGAAGACCGTAAGTGTGTTAATGGCTACTTCGCTTCTTCCTCTTTAGTACAAATATACTTACTATAAATATCCTCGTATAATACAATTTACAAGTGAGTACCCCAAGTCCATTACTTATTTCAAGGTTTTTGCCAGAAGTTCTCTTAGTTTTGAATAAAATTCAAAACCATTGTACCAAAAAGGAGACCACTCATGAGCTTATTCAAGACGTTCATTGTGAGTCCTGTGTGACTCCTCGGACAGTTAAGTTGATAATAGAATAATAAGAGTATAAAAATACAATATTACACATCTCATACATTTGTCATTAGGCATATATTCATTAGAAAGCGTGTCTCCTTTTCCGATTCCAACAGGAGATGCACTACTTAAACCACTATGATGATCTTATAATGATATTAAGCAATAAAATAAATTATATTTAATATATCATTACCAAAACGAAATGTAAATAAATAGTACTTATACATGTATATTGTCATTATATGAAAAGTTATGTAACCCGTGACCGATGGTTCAAACAGTTTCAATAATCATGGCTACGCCTTGTCCACCAGCTATGGATGCTGCTGTTATAGCTCTTTTTAAACCGCGTCGTCTGAAACAACAAATAATTGTCTTATATTTATATTTAGTATACTAATATTATTTCAACACTGTTTCAAACTTCAATTTCAATATTGTTTCAAACTTGAACGAAGTATTCCAAAGTACAAGAAGTCAAAGTTTAGAATCTTTTAAAACTTTTAGTGTATTTGAATTGTTCACTTCGTTATGTTTGATCCTTGTATCCTACCTAAGTTCATACGTGAGGTTTGACACGATCCTGGTACCAGTGGCGCCTGGTGGATGTCCAATAGCGATGGCTCCTCCATTAACATTCAATTTGTCATCATCTACCTCCAGCTCTCTGGCACATGCCACTGTTGCTACTGCAAATGTTTCGTGCAGCTGTAAATTAATTTGATTTTCATCTTAATCATGTTTTTTAAATGTCTGAAAGTCATACTGTCATACTTCGCAGTGCGGTTTAGGTTTATTCAATTAAAGCATCCTATGTAACTAAATAATTACATCGACCAAATCCATATCGTTAATCGTTAACCCTGTACTCTTGAGTAGTGACTGCACAGCCACTACCGGTGCCATGCCCAACATAACTGGATCTAATGCTACATACGACCAGCCCACTAACCGAGCCAGTGGCTTTAGCTCATGAAGCTTTAGAGATTCTTCATTGGTTAAGATCACTGCTCCGGCACCATCAGCATTGCCCTGTGATAGAAAAAAAAAACATATAAGTATCAATTTATCTTAAGCTAGATTTAGCTTTTTTTATTTCTCAACTCACACAGCAATTACCAGAAGTGGTGACGCCTCCTTTGAATGTGGTTGGCAAACTGCTAAATTTCTCGAATGTCACAGGACGTTGCGGTATTTCATCTCTTGTCATGAGAACCTCACGGTCCTTCACCTTTATTGTTACGGGTGTTAACTCTTCATTGTAAACACCTTTGGCATCCGCTGGAAGTAAGGTTTTATCTTCAGAAATTGTTCCATTGGTTCAGCAATTTAATCAAATTCAATAATTTGATTCTCACCATCTCTCCACTTCTGGTACGACCTCAAAGCAAATTCATCTGCCTCTCTTCTAGTCACTCCGTACTTGGCCACAACAACATCAGCAATTTGTATCAAATGCATATTGCAAATGGGATCAAAAAGACACTTCTGATAGTGGTCTTCAAATTGTATGCTTTTTCCCTTATGTGTTCCAAAACGCACGTCGCGGACTAGGAAAGGAATAGAGGACAAAGACTCCATGCCACCAGCTAAGGCTATATTAGCTGACCCTATCAAGATTTCCTGTAAAGATTACTTGTGTTATAGATTTTCAATGTGTTGTATAATTCACCTATTATACAAACTTGGACGTACTTGTGCACTGCAAATTATCGCGGCAAATCCAGATCCAGACAACTTGTGTACAGTGAGGACTGGTCGTTCTGCAGGGATGCCGGTTTTTAAGGCTGCGTTTCGGCCAGAAAATCCAGATTGTGCTACCGAAATTGCCTGGAAAATATCATAGTACATCCAGGCTGATGAGGCTAATATGGTCGACAGATATTAGAGTAGGTACAAAGTATACATAGACCGGCATCAAAATGGTAGTTTGAGTATGTTAAAGAAATTCATTTACATATTTACCTGGCCAATGGTGACTGTGTCAACAAGATCTGCAGCCACGCCACTGGCCTTCAGTGCTGCTGCAGCTGAGGTGGCTAATAGGTCTTCAGCGATAACATCACGCAGCAGACCTCCGTACATCCCGAAAGGAGTACGTTTACCAGCTACTATGTATACTCCTAAAAACGATAAGTTTGAGATCATCATCATCATTATTAGTCACCAGATGCCACCAGACCATCTCAAGATACGTCAGTTCCAACGGCCTCGGGTTCTTTGACAAATGCGCCTAGACACTTTTTTTTTTTTGGGGGTAAAAACATCGAATGACTGCTCCTGTCTGAGTGAGGCGGGAGTGAGTGTCAGACTCTTACTGACTAAAAACCACTCCGTTAGGTTCGCCGCGACTCTGAATCGGCATCGGCCCTTTTGGTGTTGGTGCTCCGAATCGGCATCTGTGGTGGTCTGATGGCTCTTTGAGGCGCGCGCGGAACGCGACGTGCCGCTCGGGTCTGTTTCTGGTCGGACGGGGAGCCACCCATGCTCGCCGTCCGCAGGCCTGCGACGCCCGGTGTGTCCTTCGCGATGGCTGGGTTGCGAGGAGGCAACGCTTCGCTGCCTCACGCGTCCCGCCTCCTCTTTAGCTAGCATAACTGCTTCGCAAAAGAAGGAGACGGCATCCCAGTCCCCCTTGCTCCGCATCATGGCCTGCACTAGCCCCGGACGCGAGAGGTCGCCATCGCCGATCACTTCCCTGAGGGCACGGCGGTACTCAGCCCACGCAGGGCTTCTCCCACTGTGTGTTCCACCGTGTCCTCAGGGCGGTCCTCGCAGTGATGACACCCGGGCGTTTCCTCCCGCCCCATCAGACACAGGTACCTCCCGAAACTTCCATGACCGGTGAGGACCTGCGTCTGGCGGTAGGTGAGGGGACTTACCGCTGCAATGGCAGCGAGCCTAGCCCTCGGTTGCGACAGTTGTTGCTGCCATTCCGCCATGAGATCGCGCCGGAGCTCATCCCGCCACGCACTCATGTGGCGCGGCAGCGGAGTTTCGCCCCGGCGACGTGCCTCCGCGCGCATGCGATACACGCGCGCGAGCACATTCACGTCCAGATCCCATGGCGGTAATCCGGCAGTGCCTAGACACTGCCACTTTAACTTGCTAATGCCCATATCCGTTTCTTTGGTTCTCTATCAGATCACCTCGTTTCGGATTCTACTTATAAAAGATTTTGATAAATGCAATCACTTTTCTTACCTTTTTTCGCTACTACCGCCATTCCAATCGCTGCTAATCAATATAATCAGTTTTGATCTTGCTGTCCGCTAATTTTAAACGCAACTAAAAGTCTTTTCCTTGTGAAGCAAAATTTATAGGCATCTTTGCCCATAGCTTAATAAAAGCTTAGGAAATAACATAAGTAGGTAACAAATAAGATTAATTATAATATCTAATTTGTGTACCTTTTTGCATTTAAATAATCTGACTTAAGTTATTTGAAAGTGATGAATTGTTTATGGCTTAATCCTCATTAAATGAGTTGCAAAAAAGTTAAGTCCAGACTGCGAGTGGTCGTAAGTGCGACTGCCGGGCAAGGCGGGTTCGATTCCCGGGTCAGGCAAAGTATTACTGGGTTTTTAAAAAATCTCAGTAGTAGCACGTAGTCTGGAAATGTGCCCGGTATATGGCAATAGGCTCACGCCCTAATGGGACACAACATAAATAGTGAAAAGTGGGTGTTTTTATTAATAATAATAATAAGCCCGCAGGGCACCTTGAGGCGAGGTTACGGGCATTAGCAATCCCGCGGGCTACCATCATCCCGAGTGCTCCAGGGAGAAGTCACCGTTCCTTCTTCTCCAGCTTGCCTTAATTGGCTGGCTGGAGTGAACGATGACAAGGAACAGGTCTCCCACCTCTGGCTTGCCTTCATTGGCCGTCCAGAGTGGAGTCGCGAGAGCAGTGATCCTACTCGGAGGGTAAGAAACTATTCGTAAGTCGCGAGTGGGCCAGGGATGCAGGAGGCTTCGGCTGGAGCAGATGATCTGAGTAGAAAGCGGTGGTAGCTTCTCAACCCTTCTTGAGCCACTCACATTCTCGTTGCCCCTCTGTTGCTATA